CTCCCCTCGCCCCCGGCACAGGGGCCTCAGGATGGAAACCATCAGTCCGCACCGCCGGAGAAGGTCGGCTGGGTCCGGAAATTCTGCGGGAAGGGGATTTTCAGGGAGATTTGGAAAAACCGCTATGTGGTGCTGAAAGGGGACCAGCTCTACATCTCCGAGAAGGAGGTAGGCGCCCTTTGCCTCCACGGCCCCTGTTTCCTGCGCGCCCCACTTTGTCTCCGCGGGGGGCGCGTCCCCAGCCGGTCTCCCTCTCGGAATCAAGTTTGAGTCCCCCGCCATCCACTCCGCGGAGCGAGGTCGCTCCTCACGGAGAGCACCTGGGCAAGAATTAGAAGTTGAGTTTGCTTCTTGTGTCATGTTTTTTCTTTGCAAATACCTCTGTGACAACGATGATAGTCATCTCCCAACATGTCCCAGAAGTCCCAAGTGTCCCCTGCTGCCTCCTACCCTATCCTGGCATCCTGAAATACAGGATTTTTGTCTTTTGTTATTGCTGCTAAAACAGCTGTTCCGCTCTTCCCTCGCCCTTTTCTGCCTACCCACCACACCCCAGCCAGCCTCTCCTTTCCTGTCTGTGGCAGGGGCCTGTGCTGGTCCTGTCAGTTGCACACAGCCCAGGCTCAGTCCTGTGACCTTGGTAGATCTGTGAGTGCGAACAATTGTTTTTGTGGAAGCCAATGCCCCTAACCAGTATGCTGTCTGTTCGGCTCCACTTAAAAATATAGAGAGATGTGGTGCTCACGTTCTAACTCCTTCCCACTGACCCGTATTTCTATCAGAGGGGAGGAAAGGAGTTACGAGCCGCTGATGTCCCTGCATAGCTGTGGCTCTGTAGTTAAACATGAAAAATCACGTTCGCTGACTTTGTGACTGTGCCCGTGTTGCCTGGTAGACCGTCCTGTGTTCTCCTCCCTCTCTTGTGTTCCCTTGCTAACTGGAAGTCCTGCCTGAGTGCCAACCACTTCTGCTTTTGGCAGTAGACACTCCTACTCAGTACATTACATTTAGGTAAATAAATCCTTTTACGGTATTGAAACCACCATGCAGCCCAAGAGGACACGCTCATCTGAAAACAGAACGGGCTGAGGCAGCGGGGGAGAGCGAAGCTGTGCCAGGGCAGAAGCGATCCCCCTGCAGGGGATCAAGACCTAGCTGTGCCCTCCTCTAGTCAGGAACGTGCCGAGGGGAAAACCTGAGGAGTGAGGCGCGAGGAACTGCCAGGGAGATGAAATAAATAGTCAAGGGCCACCTCCGTTCAGTCACAAATCCTGCAGAAAGTTCTCACCAGTTTTCTGGCTTTGTACTTGAAAAAAAAAAAAAAAAAAGAGCAGGTGTCAAAGTGTACCTTCTGTCTTCCCAAACTTCATAATGACAGGAAACTTGTGTGAGCAATCAGGGAGAATTTCCTACACATCAAAGAGGAAACTAGTTTAGAGTGAAAGGGTAAAAGAAACAACATTTTTTTTCTTGTTTGTATGGTCCAAAGAGTAGAGTCTGGGGACAAAACTGGATTGCGCCCTGTGAGTCCAAGAGCCACTCATCGAGAGCAGGGAAGGATGGGGTGACCTCAGCCTGGTGTCCTGTGAGTCAGGAGCATCTGACTATCCTGGGGCCCACTGGCCCCTGCTGGGAAGGGCATCGGAAAGGAGGGAATTGTATATGGAGTTACTGTCCCTCCCAGCCAGTTTTCCTGCCACGGCAATCCTGAGTTAACAGTGACACTGACAGACAATTCCAGGCTTTACTGTGCCCACTTCCCCAAAAGCTCCAAAACCAATAGATTCAAGATTTTAAGGCTTTTTTAAAAGTATGGTATAATATTTGTAATTTACCTGTTAGTGCAAACAGAAAATATCCATCTCCTCTCTCCCAGAGTTCACACCAATTTTTTTTTTTTTTTTTTTTTTGGTACCGGGTATCGAACTCGGGTCCTTGCGCTTGCCAGGCAGGCGGCAGCACCACTGAGCTACATCCCGGGGCCTACACCAATCTTGTTGTCATCGTTCTTGTTACTTCTACTTGGAATGATTAGATCTCCTACAACTACCTCCACCATAGAATTCCTTCCTTTTGTGTTTACTGTAAAACATTTTTCTGATTTCTGGGCCACAGGCTACCCTTTTTCAGAGAGGACTGGGGCACCTTCTCTCAAGGGCTGACAGATAACAGCAGAAGCTGGATCCCGGGGAGACCCCAGGGCAGAGGAAGCTGGGTTCCAGGCTGCTCTTAGCAGGCACGGGCAAAATCTCTTGGGCCACGGATGACAAATCAGGAGAAGGAAGGGGGAATGTGGGAGCTAAATGATTGTAAATGAGGCTTTGGGAATTGGATCGTGGGGTGCCCATCTTCTCTGGGCACTGGAGCTGACCTGTGGTCTCACTCCGTCTTCTACCCCTGTGCTACCAAGGGTTGGCCTGTCAGTATCTCTGTCCCAGAGTTCCTTATCAGCCATATCCGAGCCAGAGTAACTCCCTTCCCTTGTCTGCCCTCAGGAAAATGGAACAAGTTGCTCTTTTCCCCTGGCCTCACACACACACCCAGCACTTTCCTCTCCGAGGCTCCTGGCCTCTGCTGATAGTCTAACTCTGGGAGAGGCGGGAGAGGAAGGGTGATGCATCCTCCTGGTTCCCAGCTCTGGGTTTCTGGGAATTGTTCTTGGATGGCGCTCTCGCTCTCTAGCGCCGTGTTCCATTGGCATCCATGACCTTTCAGAGCCTCTGGTCGCTTCCCAGTCCGAAGCCAGGGAACCAAGCCTTCCCTAAACAAACGGCGGAGTAGATGGATGGGCTGTCACTCACCTCATGGAAGCCGTGACCATCTGTCCTGTCTGTCTTCAGCCCCTGGGTTCAACCACAGTTTAGAAGGACGGGCAGGCACAAGACTTTAAATGGGCTGTGGAAAGGAAGCGGCTCCTTCCCCCTTGGAGGTTGACGAGACCCCGGAGGAAAGATGAGGGACAGGTGCACACACATCAGACTTCCTGTGCCCAGAGCTTGGGAAGCCGAGACTCCTTTGGAAAACAATTCCAGTCCGGGAGGGTAGATTCTTCCAAGGAAAACCTGGGGCTACTGTCACATATTTGCTTAGTTTTAACCAGATCAGTGCTGGCTGCTCTGTCTGGATGAGTCTCTCTACAGTAGTGAATTCCGTACTGGAATCAGAGGAGAGTACAGAGTGAACAAAAGCAGGGAGGCTGGAGACGGCCTTTCATTCCCTGCAGACTGAGCAGCTTCGTCTGGATCATCAAGAGGCACTCAGGTCCTCCTTGGCCGGGAATGATTGAATTTCCCTGTTCTCCCTGTCCTTGTAAGAACTTGTAAATCGTGTCCTTCAGGAACAGAGCAGGGGTCATGGGTAAAGGGAGTCTCTGGAGAAGATCGGTTGGCCGAGAACTGGGCAAGGAATTTAAACAGACACCAAAGGACTCAGGACTAGGAGGCTGCCCCAGCCCTGCACCCCACTGTCAGTCCTGGGCAGGGTGGCCCTTTGCTGCCATCCCTCCCTCAGGCTGCTCCTGGTTCCAGAGACTTCTGAACTAACGTTGGAGGAGGACGGGCTAACTAATTTTATCTTCCTTACCTCACCCCTCCATCTCCCCTAGGTGAAAGATGAGAAAAATATTCAAGAGGTGTTTGACCTGAGTGACTATGAGAAGTGTGAAGAGCTCCGGAAATCCAAGAGCAGAAGCAAGAAAAATCATAGCAAGTTTACTCTCGCCCACTCCAAACAACCGGGTAACACGGTAGGTTTCTCCTGCCACCCTGGCCACGGGAATATGGCAGTCAGAGGGGCTAGGGGAAGTTTCCCCTCCAGGCTCTTCCCTCAGCACTCTTGGTGCAGAGGCCCTGAATTGCGTGCCTTCCTGCTGGCTTTTATTATGAACATTGTGGCCGTTTCCTTCCTTCGAGGCAGGACAGGTTTTCACTGTCTCTCTTCTCCTTCCAAATCTACCTCCACCCCTCGTACCCCTGTGTGCACAGTGTATCTCGCGAGAAAAGTCACTGTTAAAGATACCTGTCCTTTATCAAACCTCCTCTGTTTAATATCCAGAGCCCTTCTTAGCTCTTCCTTGTTTTTTTTTGTTTTGTTTTGTTTTTGGTACCAGGATTGAACTCGGGTCCTTGCACTTGTGAGGCAGGAGGCGGCACCACTGAGCTAAATCCCTGGCCCTTCCTTGGTCATTTCTAAAATAACCTCTGAGCTATGGCATTTGCAAAAACAGGTTGAATTCCCTTCAGTTTAGACGACTCCAGAAGCAGAATCTGTCTCTTCCAGGAGCTGGGTCGAAGAGAAGGACTGTTGTCCAGGTGAGGCACCGACCCTAAACCCCGGCTGAAAGAGAATCTTCCCTCACAGGCACCCAACCTGGTCTTCCTGGCAGTGAGTCCGGAAGAGAAGGAGTCGTGGATCAGTGCCCTCACCTCTGCCATCACCCGAGCCAAGAACCGCATCTTGGATGAGGTCAGAAGGCGTGTGGTGGGGAAGGGGGCGGCGGGGCAGAGGAAACAAATGCAACTCAACAGAGGATAATGGGGGCCATCATGTGCTGTCTCCTCAGATGTACTTCTTCTCCCTCTTGAAAGCCCTCTTCTCCTTCCACCTCCAAATCTTTTCTGCCATCTTCTCCTCCCCCACCTCATGACGCACAAGCCAGCTGGGGCCTTCACGTCCAGGAAATCCTTTCCCATGGGCTTGGCAGAAGCAGTTCTTAGGGTGGCCGTATTTTCCTGTCGGGGGCTTGGGGGATGCTGGATTGGGACAGGGTCCTCGATAGCATCCTTGACATACAGGGCATCTCTTCAGGTCACCGTCGAGGAGGACAGCTATCTCGCACACCCCACAAGAGACAGGGCAAAAATCCAGCACTCCCGCCGCCCCCCAACTCGGGGACACCTCATGGCTGTGGTATGTAGGACTACAGAAACGTGAACACGGAAGGGGGTCCATTCTGGGTCGGTCCTTTTCAGGGGCCTTTGTGGGAGCCTCTTGAGACCAAGATCAGAGGCCGAGGAGGTCCCCACCACACCAGTCCGCACTTTGATTAGATTTCTCGAGAGCAAAAATATTTAGTCAGCACTTCCATGAGCTCTTGTGTCGCTGCTGTCATTAATTTTAGTGGGGAAAATGAGATCCACTCCAGGGAAAGTAAAAAGTCTACAAGACGACAGAAGCGCTGCGTGGTGTGGTAGTGGCTGTGCTGATGGGCGGCAGCTCTAAGCACCAAGCACCAGACCACAGTCAACTTCGACCCAGAGCAGGGGTCTCTGGCACTCGTCTGAGCTCTCCAGGGAGAGGGGCCCTGGAGGTAGACAGAGTCTGAGCTGGGGCCTGGCTTTGAGATTAACTGTGGTTCCTGAAGCTGCAGGACTGGCAAGTGGGGCAGTGTGCTCACCTGGCTTGAGCGGCTGCTGCGAGGGGTGAGTAAAGCTAGGAAGTACGTGCAGAGTCGTGCTAGGAAGTGTGTGCAGAGTCCTGTGCCCCTTCCTCATTAGGGCTCTCAGCGGTAACAGCCAGCGCGGCGCGTGTGCCATAGGTTCGCCACCACTGAATTAAACTATTCTAGATGTAAGAGAACACGTTTAGAATAAGGCAAGGGGTTCACGTAGCAGAGGGGGCTGCTGTGTGGACCACCCTGTGTGCCAGGTCCGACAGGAGACTTCAGTCCCCATGCAGAGGAAATAGACACTCCTCAGGAAGTTTGCAGCAAGGGGGAAAGGTGTGGGAGACAAGCAGGAGAAATTAATTTAAGTCATAGGAAAATGGAAAAAAAGGGGAGGAGAGCTGGGGCGTGGTGGCGCACACCTGTAATCCCAGCACTTAGGAGGCTGAGGCAGGAGAATCATCTTGAGTTTGAGGCCAGCCTGGGCTACATAATGTGTTGAAGGCCAGCCTGAACTATATCGCCAGGCCCTGTCTCAAAAAAAAAGAAAGAAAAGGGCTGGGAATTAGCTCAGTGGTACTGTGCCTGCCTGGCAGTACTTCGATTCCCCATACCAAAAAAAAGGATGGTGGTAGGGGGAGGTTTTAAGTTGCCATCAAAGAAATAAAAAATAGTAAACAGCATAGAAGGGTCCAGTCAAGAGTGCAGATTTAGAGAAGCCCATTGCTCCTGAAGTCTCAGCTGGTGAGTTCACCCGCTTCGTTCCCACCCTGTGCTTCCCAGGCTTCCACCTCTACCTCCGATGGGATGCTGACCTTGGACCTGATACAAGAGGAAGACCCTTCCCCTGAGGAGTCCACTTCCTGTGCCGAGAGCTTCCGGGTGGACCTGGACAAGTCTGCGGCCCAGCTGGCAGGCAGTCGGCGGAGAGCAGACTCGGACCGCATCCAGCCCTCCTCAGACCGGGCCAGCGGCCTCCCTCGGCCTTGGGAAAAGCCCGACAAGGGGGCCACCTACACCCCCCAGGCCCCCAAGAAGTTGACACCGGCAGAGAAAGGCCGCTGTGCCTCCCTGGAGGAGATCCTTTCTCAGCGGGACACGGCCCCTGCCCGCATCCTCCAACTGCGGTCCGAGGAGTCTGCAGCCCCCCGCCCACCCCACCCAGGGCAGCTGTCCCGCATCCAGGACCTGGTAGCGAAGAAACTGGAGAAGACTCAGGAGCTGCTGGCAGAGGTTCAGGGACTGGGAGACGGCAAGCGCAAGGCCAAGGACCCCCCACGATCTCCTCCTGATTCTGAGTCAGAGCAGCTGCTGCTGGAGACGGAGCGGCTGCTGGGAGAGGCCTCATCAAACTGGAGCCAGGCAAAGCGGGTGCTGCAGGAGGTCAGGGAGCTGAGGGACCTGTACAGACAGATGGACCTGCAGACACCGGACTCCCACCTCAGACAGACCACCCAGCACAGTCAGTACCGAAAGAGCTTGATGTGAGGGAAGGCGGTGTCTGGACTTGGGGGGTGCGGACAGACTCTTATCTCCAAGTGTTGCAGGATAAAGCTTTTTTATTTACCTCAATCCAAAAAAAAAAAAACCCACAAACACAAACTCATTGCCCTTGCTGGTGCCTGACCCCCTACCACTCTTCTTTTCCCTTATCTTCTCTCCTTCCTTAGTCCCCCAACAGTGTTGGGAATAAGGAGTGTCACCGGGACACAGAGAGGGGTCGCACAGGCAGCCTGCTCACTTCGCAGACCCTGCCCACCTCCCGGGCCTGTGGCTGATGGACAGAGCCACACACAGGCTTCTAAATCCAGAAGGGGCTGGGGAAGAGCAGGTTTTCTCGTGTGTCCCATTCCGCACTTTGAATCTGAGGGTGAAATTTCAGCTGCCTAACTCTAGTTCTAGGGATGTGGAGGCCAAGGCCACCTGTCCATGCCACAGGAGAAGTGAAATTTACCCCGTCCCTGCAGAGGATGTGTGGAATTAAACTCTCCCAGGCGCGACACTGGCTTCTCACGCATAGCAGTCTCTCAAGATTGAGCTGCCTCGGGCTGGGGCCAGGCAAGGGCTCAGCGGTAGAGTGGTTGCCCAGTATGGTGAGGACCTGGGTTCCATCCCCATAACGCAAGGTGGGGGTTGGTGGGGTCTTGGGCTGCCCTTCCCTCGGCCGGATGGACTAGCTTGGTCACCTGACTAGGAGGCCGAGCACAGGGGAACTGGGAACTGCTGACCCCGTGGAAGAACTGAACTAAGAGTGAAACTGATTTGTGATTCAAGCTGGGTAGGTTCAAGGGGGAAACCAAACCTATGTCTGGGTTCCTCTTTCAGCCGTGCAAGGGTTTCCTGTAGTCTCCCCGCTCCTTCCACAGACAGTGCCGAGCGGCCGAGCTCTGCGAGAACACCTCTGCCTATCCCATGTGCCGCCTGCAGCTGCCGGGCTTTCTTGCGAGCTTGTCCACAATAGGATGCACAACTCCATTTATTTTATTTGCTGCTTTTCTCTGAAAAATCGGGTGTAATAACAGTGATAAGTTCCACAGAGAAGTTGTAAAGACAAGATATAAGTTATTTTGGGAAAGAAGGGGACAGAAAGCCTCAAGAATCAAGTGAATGAGGGGCTAGAAAACACTGTAAAAGCTTGATCCTCCTCCCTAGATTTCTCACCCCTAAGAGCAGAATCCCAGAATTTCAGTGGCCGTGAATGGGGAGAAGAGAGAAGAAATGAAGACAAGTTGCATGTAGACCTTGGCCATGAGGCTGCCTTAGTGTTGGGGAGCTGGGCTGTGAGAGAGAGGGAAATGCTGTTCTACTGCAGCCACATGAGCAAGGGGGCCCCGACCTCAAACCAGCCAGGGGACAGGAACTCAGGCTCAGTCCCTCACCACTTCCTGTCGTGCAGGCTTATCCTATATCGGACCCGTAGTTATCGAACTCTTCCCTAAAACAAGCATCCTACTGAAGTCAGGGAACGTGTGGCAAGTGCCACCATGTTGTCACGCCCAGGGCCTCCTGAGGGAACCTAGGTCTCCAGGCTTCCTGTTGTCCAGGTAGGCCTCACCCCAGAACTCAGCCTGGTCATTAGTGCCACCCACTGCTGCAAATACTGAAAGTCTGAGTTAAAATTAGACTTTCTTCGTATAATCTCCATCTTTGAATGTTACTTTACCACCATTTTGCTTTCTCTTTTTGTCACTCCTACATAATGAGGAAAAAGACAAAAGCAAGAGTGACACGTGTGTCCCAATATGCCAGTCATCGGTGGCTCCCAGGAGAGCCGTGCTGTGGTGGGAGACGGTGGAGAAGAGAGCAGCAGGTGAGGGGAGGCAGAAAAGAAAGTCAGACCGGGGAGGCCCGGGCCGCCGGCTGCTGGGGCCTTCAGCACAGGCACCAAAGCTTGGGCTCTCTGGTACCTGCTGGCGCACCCATGCCACAAGGTGGTGAAGTGAGCACAGGCTTTCTGGGTGTCCGTCTCCCCCTGGGCTTTAAACACGAGCTGTTGAATGGGTGAAGGGCGGCGTGTGGGAAGAGCCCGTCGGTCAACACGTGCAGGCTGTGGCGGCTCTGATTAGCACCGCTCAGCAGGCCAGGACCTGGAGCTCAGATGGCCAGAGCACCCTTTGGACAAGGGCTGGGGTACAGGCTCGTCACTGTCAGTGTTTGACACCCCACACCTCTCTTCCAGAGAGAGAGAGAGAGTAAGGGCGGAGTGGGGCACAGTCCGTGGGCTTCAGGACAGCTCAACACAAAGCCCGGTTTCCACTAGGAGCATCGTTCGTGGTGGTGGGCGACCGGCAAGAGGAGGACGCCGCTTCCTTCCCAGGCGCCGTGTCTGGGGAGTGGACGGAGGGAGCCGCTGGCGAAAGGACTGTGGCTCCTTGGGACAACGCTCACGATACAGCTGCCTGTGGACACTCTTGCAAGATGTCCCTTGCTTCCTCTCTTCTTCCTTCCATTGACTTTGTTACATTATCTTCTTGCGCAGAGGAAATGGAAAAGGGAAGCTCCTTTGGGAGGCTCTGAGACGGGGAGAGGAGAAATTGAGGACAGGGTGGAAAGGGGGTGAGGGCTGAGACATGTACAGAACCAAGTCTTACTTCAGTTTTCAAGGGCATTTCCTTAGCTTTTCCTGTTTCTGCCATTAAATTGGTAAGGGGGGTTGGGGAGTCAACAGAGGCAGGGCGCTGCTCTTCCTGCACTAGCAGTGCCTGAGGTGTTGGCCGGGAAAGCTGATGCGTTAATCTGCATGCCCTTCCACGGCTGCGGGTGTCTAGGGTGAAAAGAACAGTGGGGAGCACAGGTTTCTCTAACCCTGCTCCAGTCCCACAGGCCGTGCCACACTAAGCCTGACCCTAAGGAATAGCTCTTGCCACTCCCCCAGCCCCTCTGCCAACAGCAAGTTTACCTCCATCTCCCCAGAAACCGGTTCCAAAGAGTCTCTCGCCTGTCTAAACCTCAGACAAGCAGACTTAGCCCCCTTCGGCAACCCCGGGAGCTGGGCTACTGCGCCCTCCCCCTTCTCCCTGCCTCCCTAAGCCTGGTTCATTTCTTTTTCGCTTCCCTCCTACCGCCCGGTCTCCCAACAACAGCAGCCAATCCCCAGCCCGCTCTAGAGCCGCACCATATATGGAGAGGTTGGAAGGAAACCCGAGTAAAAGCCAGAGGAACACACACACACACACACACACACACACACACACACCCCACAACAGAGCTGAGTGCCTTTCTGCACGTGATCCTGTTGTCTGTGTGGACCCCATGAGGCCCGCGGTCCCCTGTCCCTAGCTCGCCCCACCCACACAGAGAGGAACCTGTTTGCTATTCCCCACCTTTCTTCCGGCCCCAGGAGACCTTCGCGCCAGCCCGTCGCCTCTGACCTAGATTCCCTGCACTAATTACAAGCCTAACAGAGATCTAACAAACACCCAACTTAGCACAGCTGAGACCCTTGAGGTCAATTAGTGCAGCCCAGCTCCACTCCGGAAGTGAGGGATGGAGCCAAAAAGTCCATCGGGCCTGGCCCAGCCCCACTGCGCCCTAGGGGTTGGGAGCAGAGGTGGGGAGAAGGCAGAAATTGGCGGACTAGCTTTAGAGTGGGATCTTGGAGACTTAACCAGTGTTCAGTTTGGGAGCATCGCAGAGTCCCCACTCCTCCTAACTGATTAGAGGCACAAAGGTGGATGCAGCTGCAGAAGAGAGAGACAGAAGGCAGATTACTTAGAAACTTGATGTGAGCACCAGTAACTCAGAAAAGCAAGTAGCACTGAACGCTGTGCTCCGGGATCTGTGTCCCTGCCTCTGGCTCAATCCCTCCTTTTAGCTTCCAGCTTTGGACAGGCGAGGTTAGTGCCCATGTCTTTCCTGCTGGTTTGGGATAGCTCAGAAATCACCCCTTTCTTTTGGACATTCTAGACTCGAGCTCATCCTTGCTTTTCCTTCCCCGAGATATCAACACCAAGACAGCACCCAGTTCTTTCCTGCAAGGCTCCCTCGCTAGGTGGCACAGTGAGGTACTAGAAGAGCTCCCCCCACCCCGTCCTGTCCTGTCCTGGACGCTCGGACAGTGTCCTAACCTCCATTCTGACGCTCCCGGCTCTGAGGGGTAGGAGGGGAAGGAGCGGGCGGTGCCATGCTCGAAGCACAGGACGGGGAATGCCTCACAGCCACCCCAGAAATCAAGTGCTTGCCACCCTTTGGCACCCACCAGCTCTGGCTGCCGGGTGGGTGGGGGCAGCTCTGCCAGCACAGCCTCCGGCACCCCAGGCTCACACCCTAACCAGGACGATTCCATTGGCCCTATGTCTACATTTGATGTCTCCCAAGTGTATTTCTCCAAACTAAGCCCCCACGCCCAAGATCGAGGCCCTCACAGCCAAGCACCTCCGACGGGCATTGCTGCTTCTCCGACAGCTGCTTGAATCTGAGTTTGTGTTGACCGATAGAACGTGCTGCTGTGTAAGTTCCAGAGCTTAGAGACCTTGTAGTTTCCACTCTGTCCTTAAAATTCAGCTGCATGTAAGAAGCCTGGGCTAGCATCCCTGATGTGAGACAATGTAGTTTAGAACCCAAAACCACAGGGATCCATCCCAAATCCAAACATCCAGCCAAAGATATCCTACCTGGCAGGGCCAGAGAACCAACTGCTCGGTCACTCCCCAGAATTTGGAGAAATTAAAGAGATCTCTCCCGCATCTCTCGAACTCAGGCCTCGTGCAGGCCTGGTGCCATTGAGCTACGCCCCCTGCTGGAGGAATTAATAAACCCCTGTTGCCTTAGGTCACTAAATTCTAGGCTGCTTTGTCACTCAGCAGTGCATACTAAAACAAAAATGGATTCTTGGAAGGGTGATGCCGCCATAACTAAAGCTTAAAACACTCGGTGCTAACGGGGCCAGGAGCGCACAGGGGCTGCAGGGCAGCAGTTAGCAGAGGAAGCTGCCACTGAGACAGGAGGGAGGTTCCCCATTGCTATATAGTGATGGAATAATTTACGAAACAGTAACTTGGAAGCCAGAAAATATACCTAATCACCTTGTTGGAACTTTTCTGTTTATTCACAAAATTTGAAGGAAAACTAATAGCCGGGACAGTCTCCAGTTCAGAAAACAATAGTAATAGAAGAGACTGATCTCAGAGGGGACAATCCTGACCAGCAAGACTGGGATATTTGGGGCCGGGGATGTGGCTCAGTGGTTCCGCTGCAGGCCTCGCAAGCACAAGGACCCGACTTCAATCCCTGGTACCAAAGACTGGAACGTTTGAAAAGTACCTTGGACAACTGCGTACAAGGACAATGGAATTGGCTGGCCACTGCTAAACTGCTGGTGTCATACTAGAAAGACGAGGAAGAGCCAGTCCCCAAACAACTTAGATGTGTGAAGGCCAGTGATTACTTTCCTAGCTTTCAGAAGCCCTTATCTCCTGTGGAAGAAGGGCTATAAAAGATGAAGGCCCAGCTTGGAAATAAAGACGCAAAGCTGAAGAACTCACAGTAGCTGGAAACCCTTAGCCAAAGTAGATCTAATGCACCAGGATCAGGGCTCTGATTCAGGAAACACATGGAACGGGGACACCTAGCACTTTAGTTAGTCAGTGTCACTGAAGATTTCAGATGTCTGCGCTCCTCTGAACCCTCACGGATTCAAAGGCAGCCCACTGCTCCCCAGTGAGAGCTAGTGTCACCTGCCTCTCAGGAAAGATGCTGCAGAAGTCTTTCCTTAGGGGGGAACAGCAGTGCCCCCAGATCTGGTTCTTTCCCCTCCTGGCTACCACAGTGAGAGTTGGGGCTGAGTCACAGCATAATTCAGCCAACATCATGCAGGACCTTAGACACCCACCACATACCAACAGGAGCCAGGCAGGGTCTCCGTGATCTAGATTTTGATGGTACCAGAATATGAAATTGGTTAAGAAAGACTTTATATGATAGGATATATACACATACCAAGTCCCAAGATGATTATAATTATCATGTGTTGCAAATATAGACCGATAAATTTTTTAATTTTAAAAAAAGAAAGATAGCAAAGAATCTAAATGAAAGCAGAGAGAGAGAGAGAGAGAGAGAGAGACTAGCATACACAATTACACCAACTACTAGTGTGCTTCTGGAGTCCTAGAAAGAGCAAAATAACACTGAGCAAAGTGCCTGACCATCAGCAATGGAGGAAGGGATTTAAAAGCTTAGAGAAGTAGACACACGGGATAGTCTTGTGTTTGAGGTTCACAGACACCGTGGGATTATGTCCCATGGAAGACCCAGGAGACACACCGTTCATTCACCAGCACCGTCAGGAGTGCACTGGCCACAGGGACGCTGGCATCACTGATCTCTGCAGCGGCCTCCTCTGGGGGCCGGGAATGCAGGCAGGAGAGTTAGTAACTGTGACGGTTGATTGATTATTGTCAATTTAAGTAAGAGAAGCTCAACTAAATCAGCTCAACAATTCCACACCCTGGGTGGGAAGACCCACCCTGGGCGGCTTGTCACCTGGATAGGATGAAGGGGACATGAAGAAGGACCAGTCCGCTTCTGTTTCTGTACAAGCACGCAGTTCTCCACTTCGTCTTGGACATCACCTCCTGGTTTCCAACTCAGAGTCTTCAGCTTCTGGTACAGGTCCCTCAGCCTTCCGGTGGACTTCCCAGCCTTCCCTCGCAAACCCGTCAGCCTACTGATACAACTTGCAGGGGACGCTGCGGTGAGCTCCAGACCTGCGACTGGATCCTGCAGTCCCCAGTGTGCAGACAGACCCTCTGCACTCTTCCTCATCCAACTCTGTGGGTGGCCATGGTCAGCCCATCTTGTCAATTCTTATATACTTGTGTTTTTTATATCTTAATCTAGTAGACGTGGATCGATATAGTAATAGAGCAGGGATCATCAATAGAAGTGGAAACAACTGACCCCCAGGCCCATAGCCAGGCAAGAGAGGCCAGGTGACAGCAATAGAAGCCAGGGAGTCGACTGGGGACCATCATCTCAATGACCTACAAAATCAGAAGGCCAGTAAAAGGGCTTGACTTACAGGGAGTGAAGTTGGTTAATAGACCTTGATCCCTCAGAATAAAATAGCAGCCAACAAGGGCAGTGCTGAATATAGATAGCCAAAAGAATGCCAGAAAAGATGAGCAGGAGGCTGACCACAGCTGGCCCAGGGAAGTCATAAAATCCTGACATAGAGAAATCAGAAGGCTTGTGCCCTGTTGGTGAGAATGTAAAATGGAACAGCCAGGGTGGGAAACAAGTCTGATGCATCCTCAAAAACTTAGAGAGAATTCCTTATGATCCAGCGGTGTCACTTCTGGGCATATATACCAAAGAATTCAAAGCAGGACCTCTAAGAAGGACTTGCACACTTGTGTTCACTGTAGCGTTATTCGTAAGAGACAAAATTGGGAGCAGCTCTAGGGTCCATTGACGGATGAATGGATATTGTTCAGCCTTCTTAAAATAAGAGGTTACATTCTATGATACCATTGAGATGTGAGGATATCATGCTAAGTGAAATACTGCAAGATTGTATTTATACGAGGTATCTGTCATGGCCAGATTCATAGGAACAGAAAGTAAAACGAATGCTGGTTGCCCAGGTTGGGTGGGGATAAGGAGTAATATATTAGTCAGAGTTCCAGCTTTGCAAATAACAAAGTTCTGGGGCTCAGTTCACAGCAGTGTGAACATACTGAACACGACTGAACTGTACATGTGAAGGGTTAATAGCAATGTTTTGTTTTCTTGCCACAATAAAACTAATTACCTTTTTAAGCACTAAAAATAAAAAAGATGCTGTGATCCCTTGGCCATTTCCCAAATCTGAGACACTTTCCAAACCTGAAGTCTCTGAAGTGATTAGAGGAGTCAGAGGCCTGAAATATCACGGTGGACCCCATCAGAGAGGTGGGATTCGGGCCAGGTAAAGATGGAGTCCTTAGCAGGCCCTGCGCTGCACAGGAGGCTTCAGCCCAAGGGTTCAAGATCAGCTGGGGCAACATAGTGAAACCCTGTCTCAAAAAACAAAAATAATCACAAGTGCAAGGTCCCGAGTTCGATCCCCGGTACCAAAAAATAAAAACAAAAAAATTGATTAATTAAATAAAAAGAAACGGAATCCTGGCTGAAATTCGACTTAGGTCCACTGGGTCCATGCCCCCACCCCCGGTGGCCTCTACCCCAGCACTGAACGTGTGTGAGGTCCATGTACTTAGCAGCTGGAGAAGCCCACATTGGGGACTTAGTATATGAGCTGCTGGAGGTGGTTAAATAAGAGGCTCTGAAACTGTGCCCCGCTCTCCAGCTCCACACCCAGGCCAAGCCGGTAAATAAAACCAGTATCCTATTTCGAAGGGCAGACAGAAATGAGTGCCCCCTTCAGGATCTCAAAGATGCAGGAATAGCTGTCTCTATCATCCTGTTATTTACAGCCAGCCCTGCAGAAAACCAATGGATCCTGGAGAACCTCTGCGGACTGGGGCCGTCTCAACTCAAGCCCCAGCTGCGGCCCCTGTCGCGGGAGAGGTCCCACTGCTGCAACGTGTAAATATAGTTTCGAGTACAGGCCAGGGGCCGATGGTCTGGGAACGCGGCGTTTATCCCAACCAAGAAAGGGGACTGGGATGAGCATCCACCTAGAATAGACAGCAATATTTATGCAGTTTACCTCCAGGACCCCAGGCTACGGTAACTCTTCAGTCGAGGTCATGCTGCATCCTGAAAAGGGCTAGGCCACCTGGACCTCTGCGGAGCAGCAGTGACCCCAAGTCCTGACCCTTTCCTGAGTCCTGAACCTTTCCTGACTGCAGCAGGGGCTAGGACCGGAAGTTGGGGAAGACGCATGCGCCTTAGCGGGGAGACCGAAATTTCACGTCTTCGGACCTGCGCCTTCCGGGGAGCTTTCTGTGGCGGGGCACCTCTGAGGGCGTTAGGACGTCTCCTCTAAAGGAAAGTACGCATGGCTGCATCCTGCCTGCAAAAGGAGGGGACGCAATGCTGGCGGGGCCTCTTTGCGCTGACACACTGCACACCGACCCCCAGGAATCCTGCTTCAGCCAGTGTGCCGGGTCCAGTGGAGGCTGCGGCCTGGGCAAGGGCTAGAACCGCTGCTGCGCGGTGAGGCGGGTCCGCGGGGCACGGGGCACCCTCAGGCCTCTCTTCGCGCCCTTCTGTGGCAATGAAGGGCGAGCAGAGCACAGCCATGGAGAGCGGGGTTATCAGGGACTCTGACCCCTGCATGAACGAGGGTTCGTGTCGCACCAGCAGGTGACATCGAGAGCAGGAGAGAGGACGCGGTATCCGCGCCAGCAGAGAGCGCGAGTGGAATTTAGAAGGGAGCGTGGAGGAATGAGCTCAGCTACCAGTTGCAGTTCCAAGACCAACGGCAGGAACAGCCTGCGGTTGTCCCACGGATGTCTCTCTTCTAAGTTCCTCCGGGAAAAGAGCCCACTGGAAACTCAGAAGAGCCAGCTAGCCCTGAAGTGTCTGGAAAAGTGGGCCCGCCTGGAGCAAGACAAAGACTTCAATGGCGACGGAGGCACCGCGCTCGGCTCTGCCTTCCGAGTGTTTCCTTCCACTGCGAAGGGAGCGGTGAGCTGCTAGCCTCCTGTTCAGTGGCTCCTGGGCCGGTCTCCATTTTCCAGCCGCAGCAGGCTCCTCCCAGGCAGCCCCCAACCACGGAATGACAGAGTAGAGGGAAACGAGGGCCTGGCCATTCTCGCCCGGTGGGAACGCTTCTAGGAGACAGCCTTGCTCTGGAGTTCTCTAATCGCCCGTCCAAGTGTCATAGTTTAGATCTAAAGTGTTGCCCCAGATCTCCTGTTTGGAAGATGACTGCGTCACGGGGCACCATCCTCATCAGAAGCTGTGTGTGCCAGCTAGGAGGTGGGACGCTGGGGACATGCCCTGGAAGGGTGTGTTCTTGTCCCCACTCCTCCCTTCCCACTCTGCTTCCTGGCTTTCAGGGGCTGAACACTTCCCTGTGTCAGGCCCTTCTCCCTGCCTCTCTGCCTTGGAGCCAGCCAGCCCTGGGCTAAGCCACAAGCCAAATGAGCGCTCTCCTCTTTGAAGCTGTGTCCCAGCCAGTGGGGCAGTGAGGAACACACCGGACTCTGCCCTTCAGTCTGAGACTCCCCACCTCCCTTTACAGCCCCACCCCACCCCGTGCAGCTCTTGCTCCGGAGGCTCAGCACCCACTGTCCAGAGCCCCTGGGGCCACTCCCTCTCGCCCATCCTCAACACCAGACCCTCAGTGGGTCTGGACGTCCACATCCAAAGCCTTCCAAGAGCCCGCAACTGTCTCTCCTCTGCCGCCCGGCATTCGCTGACTGTGAGTTCTGACATCTCACTGCTTTCTCCTCGTCCCATTCAGCTTGGGATGTGATTCATGACACCTGCCTGCTTAAAACCTCCAAGCTTCACATCACTCAAAATAAAAAATCAGATCTTTGGGCCGCAGATTCAGCTCAGTGGTTCTGGCACCTGCTTCGCAAGCGCCAAAGCCCAAGTTCGATCCCCAGTACCAAAAAAAAAAAAAAAAAAAAAAAATTCAGATCTTTGCTCTGGCACATAAGGTCCTTCATCATCTGACCCATGCATATCTGGAGCCTCCCCTGTCCAGTCACAGACTTCCTTCTGTTCTTCACCAGCCTGCTTCTCGCCTCAGGGCCTTTGCCCTTACTGTGCCCTCTCTGTCTAAAGTACTCTTGTCCTCATGCATAAAACCTTCACTAAAACATCATTCCGCCGAGACACTTCTCTCGCCACCCTGTCTCAGGAAGCTCCTCTTCCAATGAAATTGCTACTATATCATTCTCTTTGCTTTGCTACATCTACTGCAATCTAAGTATTCATCTCATTGGCCTTTATATTATTTCTCTCCCTGAATAAAATATAAGCCCTGACTTCCTTCTAGGACCTGATTTCTTTACGGCAGTCCCCCCAGCTTTCTGCAAACAATCTAAACTCAGTGATTATTTGTGCAATGAATGATAAGTCTTGCCAAAACCACCTATACCTCCAGTATATCCATCCCTGCCATTTAGTTCAAATATAATAATATTAAAATATTTCCTTGGACGGAGCATGGCGGCACACGCCTATGTTCCCGGGAGGCTGAGGCAGGAGAATTGCTGCAAGTTCAAGGCCAGCCTAGACTACATAGTATGACCCTGTCTCAAAAACAAACAAAAAATTATTTTGCCCCTTTACAGTTTTAAATAGCATGTTCTTATCATCATAGTAACTTTTGCTTCTAGAATTTAATTTTTTTATTTTCTGATTAACCCTGTGAAGGAAATAAAGCAGAGAACATTCCTGAGTATTAAAAAACTGAAGCTGAGAGAAGTAACCAAGCCAGAAAGTAACAAATTACAAGTCTAAAGTGGATGTTGGAAGATGCACTGATGTCTGCCAGCACCTACCAGCCCCCTGGGGCTCCCTCGCTGGAGACTCAAGTCCGGGCCCCATCTCCTCTGGACTGAACATTTACTAGAATGACTCACAGAACTCAGGACAGCAAAATATTCACAATTAAAGTTGTGTTACAGCAAAAGGATGCAAATTGGAACCTGCCAAAAGGAAACAGGGCAAACTCTGGAAAGGGCCCGGACACAAAGCTCTGTCTTCTCCTGTAGTCACCTCCTCCCAGTCTGCAGGGAGGCAAAGCCGCACTGTCCTGCCCACCGGGAGGCCCACCCAGGCTTCCCAGCCCAGTACCCCGCCATGAGAGCCCATTACAAAGCCCCATTATAAATCACACTGCTCAGCCACCTGCTGGCCAGGCTCCTCAGGCCAAAGGAAGCTCCAAGACACCACCTCCCAGCAGCTAAGGACCCAGGCCAGACTCCTCTGTGAGTAAAATTAATTCTTCACTTTCTTTTTTAAAAATTCCAGATCTAGCACTGTAAGCACACTGCCCTCATCTCTGATCTCTGTGTCTTTGACCCGTTGCTCCTCTTTCAGAGTTGGCTTCAGGTCACACGTGGGGCTCTGGAGATCCCAGAAACATCACTAGACCAACGACCGGTTACGACCTGAAAAGAAGAGGACAAAAGTCATCCAACACGAGGTATGCTGCCCACAGAGGAAATTATTACAAACTTTTTTTCCCCATGATGTTGAAATAAGATCTAGTAAATGTATCTGCTGGTAAGGAAAACACTAAAACAATGCCCGGCGGTGACATCAAAGTAACATAATACTGTAATCCACTTGACAATTCTCTGATGATACGCTACATCACAGCCTATAGTTCCCTACAACTAACATGCCAAGAAAACGCCAGTTATTTACTGAAATGAAGAATTTAGATGCTTTCCTCTGGTGTGGAGGGTGTTGTAGTCAGGGTTTGCAAGGGAATCGATCTAATACAGGATACATAATTTACAGGATTATTTTATACTATTCACCCACAAAGTCAAACCCAGAGGAGCGCAAGAGATCTGGCCACACGCTAGAGACCTGAAGAATCCAGCGAGGGCCTGGATCCCACGGCAACGTCCCACACAAATCCAGCTGAAGGCCTCGAGCCCAAGGCAGTGTCCCCCAGGAGTCCGGCCGGAGGCCTAGAGCAATGTCTCATGCTTATCCGTATGGAGGATCTGCACCGGGAAGGCCCCAAGACCAGCAGTGGACGCTAGAAAGCCTGCGCCGCAGGGTAGAGGATCTGTACCACCAGGCCAAGGAGTCTAAACTGGAGCTATGATGCTCAAGGTGAAAATCAGAGCTCCCCTCACAAGAACAACGGCCATTCCCAGAGACAGAGAGGCCCCAGATCCTCCTCCAATGAGAACAGCCGAGTCTGCATCAGGAAAACCAGCCTGGCAAGCTTCTCCTAGGAAATCAACAGCCCAGGATCTTCCCCTCCAGGTCTCTTCCTAGGCCCCTGGCCACGCCTCACCCTGAATCACGCTGATTCCGTACAGCTGGGCTCCAAGTTGACTTTCGTCCCACCTCAGAGGGGCGCGGGCCAGTTAGCATGGATCTGCAGCTGTGTACCCCTTTTCTCTGGCTTTTTACAAAAGTTGATCTGGGGCCAGGAGTGGTGGTGCAGGCCTGTAATCCCGGGACTCAGGAGGCTGAGGCTAAACTAAAGGATTCCTGCAAGTTTGAGGCCAGACTGAGCCACACATCGAGACCCTGTCAAAAAAAGTACACAGCACAATGAAAGTATGACAAAAGTATAACCACAATAATGAAAATATAAAGAGGCATTGAAGTTGCTAGCCGGAAAGCCAGATTCCCATTTTGGTTCTGCTACTTATTGGTTGTTTGATTGTGAACAGGTCTTAAATCCTAAATCTAGTTCCTCATCCCAGATACGGAGTTACTCATACTTGCTTTATTTATCCCACAGGGTTATTGGAAGAATTAGATGAGCTAAAGGATTTTAAGATGTTTTGCAAACTATGAAGTACAGTATCTGTTAATGCTGTTTAACATTTTTATCAGTAAAAATTATTTTAGAAGTGACGTGCAGTGTACTGGGTACAAAATATAATTGGAGAAACAGACTGAAGAATTCCAAGCCCAAGCTGGGTATGGTGGGTACACTGTAATCCCAGCACTCCGGGAGGCTGAGGCAAGAGGGTCAAAAACTAGAGCCCAGCCTGGGCAATTTGATGACTTAGTGAGACTCTGTCTCAACATTTTAATTAAGAAATAAGTAAATAAATAAAAAGAATTCCAAGCACAGGTAGCCTAAGATCAAAGAAGCTACCTGAGTATTCTTAAAATACAGAAAGACCCCATATTACAAGAGTTTGACATCATTTTTCCACTTCCCGATGGTATCACAATACATGAGGGAGAAACTGTATTCTGAAGGTGGTAGTGCGCGCCTATAACCTAGCCAGTCAAGAGGCTTAAGCAGGAGGCTTTTTAATTCAAGGCCAGCTGGAGAAACTTAATGAGACACTGTCTAAAGATAAGAAGGGCCGCAGATGTCGCTCAGAGCTACAGTGCTTTCCTAGCATGTGCAAGGCCCTGGCATCGGTAGCTCGTCCAGAGAGGAAGGGAGAGAGGAAGGAGGCAGCGAGGGAGGGAAAGCAGGAAATCACATTTTTAATGTTTTGTTCCTGTCTGCCAGTATTTGGTGTGATTTTTTTCCTCTTAAATTCTTTTATTGGTACGTATTGGGTATACGGTGTATTTACATTCATCGTTTTTCTCCATTCCCTGGCCCTCCCTTCAACCCTTCCATCCTTCCTATTTGCAAAAGCTTTGTTTCCATTTATTTCTGATCTCATATTTTGCCCTCTCTTCCTTCCTTTCCCCCCCTTCCCACTTCCCCTACCCCTTAGTACCTTCTCTTCCTAGTTCACGTTATCAATTATTCATTTTAATTTTTATTTACATTTTCATACCAGATAAACGATTTGGTATTTACACATGTGTGTCCTATTTATTTCAATTAAGAGTATATCCTTGGACCGGGGATGGAGCTCAGTGGTTCCGGTGCCTGCTTCACAAGCACAAGGACCCAAGTTCCGATCCCTGGTACCAAAAAAAAAAAGTATATTCTCAAAGCACATCCATTTAGCTATAAATGTCTCTAATTTCTCATTCTTTATGGCTGAATAGTACTCCATTTTATTTTTTAAAACATTTTTTTTATCCAGTCCCCAGTTGATGGGCACTTGGGCTGTTTCCAAGCTTTAGCTATTACAAACTGTGCTGCTGCGAACATGGGTGCACATATATCACTGTCATCTGATTATTTTAATTCTTTTGGGAAGATACTCAGCAGGGGGATGGCTGGGTCAATGGGGCCACTCGACCTAAGGAAATCACATTTTGAATTTTGATCTCCTCTGGGCTCCCCTGGGTTACATTTTCTGTCTCTGCTGAGCAGCGGCGTGAACTTCAGCACAGAGCAGAGGAAGTGACCGACTGGACAGGAGCTACGAATTAAACGCATGTTCACTTGCAGTATTCTCAACTACTGGGGCACAGCACCGCTGTGAGTCGAGGAGTGTTGTCCCTAGAAATGAGCTATCTCCTTTTTAACGTTTTTATTAGTGCACGTTTGCAGGACACAGTGCTTCAGTTCATCACGGAGAACTGACTCGGGTACCGAACACACCTGAATTATTTACACTTCCACTCCCCCCAGCCGTAGATCCCTTTCCCATTTGCAAAAAATAAAAAATAAAAATAAATTTAAAAATCCCTGATTATTATCCATCCTTTATTTTGCTCTTTATTTATACTTCGGTTTCTCACATGAGAGGAGCTAGATGATATGTAAGCTTGTGTGTCTGATTTACTTCACTTAACCTTCTGGTCTTGAGGTGCATCCATCGGTTTTTCCACAAATGCCTCAAATGTACCCTTCTTGACAGCAAAGTAGTATTCCATTGTACGTAAATACCACATTTTCTTTATTCAGTCATCTGTTGGTGGACATATAGGTCTCTTCCAAGATTTAGCTTCTGAGTTGTGCTGTTACAGATGTGGGCATGAATATGTAATACTGTGTCTGACCCTTTGGGGAAAATACCTACCAGGAGAATAGCTGACTTGCATGGAATTTCTATTTTTGGTTTTTGAGGGGTCTCCATGCTGACTGTGGTGGTTCTACTAGATTATACTCCCACCAGCAATGTAGAGAGAAGGGTTCCTTTTTCCCCTGCAGCCTCGCCCACATTTGTTATTATTTGATTTCTTCATGATGGCCATCTTTTTTAGAATAATGTAGAACCCCAGTGTTGTTTTGATTCAAATTTATCCAATACCTTGAGCCGGGCGTGGTGGCATACACCTGCAATCCCAGTACTTGGGAGGCTGAGGCAGGAGGATCGCTGTGAGTTCGAGACCAGCCTGGGCTACATAGTGAGTTCCAGGTCAGTCTCAACGACATAGGGAGACCCTGTCTCAAAAAAACCAAAAAACAATTTATCCAATACGCAAAGATAATGAACATTTTTACATGTGTTTATTGGCCATTAGTACTACTTCTGAGAAGTGTCTATTCATTTCAATTTTCCAGTTTTTGATTTAGTCTTTTATTTTAGGAGGTTTTGTTTTTTTTTATCCCTTTTATATTCTAGATACTAATCCTCTGTCAGAGGAATGACTGTGAAGTCTTTTTCTCATTCTGTAGGTTGTCTCTTCACTCTGTTGGCTGTTTCCTTTGCTGTGTAGAAGCTTTTTGCTTTGATAGGATCCCATCTGTTGATTCTTGATGTTATTTCTTGTGCAACAGGGGTTTCTGTTCAGGAAGTCTCTACCTATGCGTGTGCCTTGCAGAGTTTTACCTGTTTTAGGTTGCAGCAGATTCATTGTTTCTTTCAACAGCTAAGTCTTCCATCCATTTTGATTTTATTTTAGTACATGGTTCTAGACGTGGGTCTAGATTCAGTCTTTTCTTGGCAGAAGGGGATTGAGACAGTCTCACTGCATAATTTAAGCTAAACTTGAACTCACTATGTAGCCCAGGCTGGCCTTGAACTTGCAGCAATCTCCTGCCTCAGGCTCCCCAGTGCTGGGAACAAAGGCGAGCACCACCACTCCTGCCCCGCTTCAGATTTAATCTTCTCCCGCTGTAACTAGTTTTCCAGTGTCATCTGTTAAGGAGGCTCTTTCCTCCAGCATGTTTTGTGCCCCGTGGTCAAAAATGAAATGGCTGAGGCAGGGGATGAGTTCAGCGGTTCCACCTCCTGCTTCACGAGTGCAAGGTCCCGAGTTCGATCCCTAGTACCAAAAAAATTTTGTTTTTTTAAATGAGATGGCTGAAGTGCCCAAGGTTGCTTCTGTACCCTCTATTCTGTTCCACGGATCTACAAATCTGTTTGTGTGCCAGCACCGTGCTGTTTTTTTCACTGTAACTTTGTGATGTAACTTGAAATCCAGGCTTGGGATGCCTCCGGCCTTGCTCTTGGTGCCCAGCTCTGCTTTTGCTATTCTGGGTCTCCTGGTTCCGTGTGAACTTTGGCATTGGTTTCTTTAGTTCTGTGAGGTGTGCTGTTGCTATTTTAACTGGGACTGAATTAAATCCTGTATCAGCCTGGGTCATATTATGGTCCTGCTGACAATATGGGCTGTGCCTGTCTAGGAACAAGGGATTCCCTTCCAATTTCGGGCATCCTCTTCGGTCTCCTTTTTCAGAGGACCATAGTTTTCATGACAGATGTCTTTCATAGACTTGACCTATTTTTGGTCTCTGCTATTCATTCATTTATCTCTTGGAGCCTCCGATTCTTAAATGAAGCACTCTGAGCCTTGGTTTTGTCATTTGTCAGATGGGAATAACACGGGTTCTTGGGCCGGGGTTCAGCTCAGTGGCGCTGCACCTGCCCAGTGAGCCCAAGGTCCTGAGTTTGATCCCTGGTACCGAAAAAACAAAATTAAAAAACAAATGCACCCTTTTCCAGAGTTTGCTAGGAGGTTCGCATTAGATCACGGTTGCTGAAGTCCTTTGCCAGCCAGACAGTGCTGTATAAATATAAAGAGATCTGGGAAGAATTCCCTAACTTTTAGGGTTAGTGCAACCAAGAACACAGGGTGTGGGGTGCTTACACCGGCCGGCCGGCCCCGGGAAGAACAGAATATGCTTTTCTCTATCTCTTGGGTAGGTGGCACACTGCCCTCGAAGCTCCACGCCAGCCAGGCCTTGGGGAAGAAAGGGGAAATGAAACGGACCCTTCCCATCCATCGACTCGTTCACCCTTCCCCACGCTGCTGCCAGCCGGACGTTCTGTCCATTCTGTGGACGGAGGACCCGAAGCTTGGAGACGTTACCCAACATGAGGTCACTGGTGAACAGCGGCTTCCGGAACATTAACAGGCAGATGACAGAAAGGAGGACCTGGCAGGGGTGGCCCGAGACGAAAGGCTCGCTTCCCGCCTCCCCGCACAACCTTCTCAAAAGCGCTCGGTTTCTCGTGTGTCCTTGCAAATCCTTCACATTTCTCAGTTCGAAACGGGTCATAGAAAACCATGCTTGAGGACAAGGGTGACAGCTGGGGACACCAAGAGCGTACGTCTCCGAGAGAGCCTGCCAGTGCTCCCACAGGGGCAGCTCCTCTCCTGGTCTCCAGGAGCCATGGCTGGCTTCTCCCCAGTCCTGCGCGACATGTCACAGCCCAGCTCACACAGGCTCAAAGGCCTGCACGAATGTCCGTACTTCCCACCTCCGTCCTCATAAGTGTGTTCACTTCCACAGGCAAGAGCAGCTCCTCAGACAAAAACAGAGCTCCCCGTTTATGTATAAATATCTTTCCAAGCCAGGCATGGTGACCCACACCCAGCTACTCCAGAGGCTGAGGCAGGAGGATCCCATGTCCAAGGCCTGACTGGGCCATTTAGCAAGACTCTGTTTCAAAATGCAAAGAAAAGGGATGGGGATGTTGCTTAGTGGCAGAGCTCTTCCCTAGCATGGGGAAAGCCCTGGCTTCAAGCCCTAGTTCTACAGTCAATCGATCCATGAATGAAGTTTTTTTTCCATAACCTAGACTCCTCCCTTTATTAATTTGTGTCTCTTCTATTTAAAATTGAACTCAAATACGAAACATTAAAAATAGCACCAGGGTCCATCGCTTGGAGACCTATTCAAATAAATGATGGTAACACGGTCAGAAACAGATTATGGGGTCGTTATTTTAAAAAACAAAGTAAATGTAGCAGGACTGCCAAAATGTAGTATTGAGTGTATTAATACAGGAACAACAGTATGTTCTTTTTTTTTTTTTTTTTTTTTTTACGGGGGGGATTGAACTCAGGACCTTGCACTTGTGAGGCAGGCACAGTGCCACTGAGCTAAATTTCCAGCCCATGTTCTAATTTTTGGAAAAGAAAAACATTAACTATAAGCTTAGGGGAGCACAAAAAGTTCTACAGAATGCACCCCTGGCCACGGAGGCTCCTGTCTCACTGTACAGCTAGTGTTGCTCAGACCCAACTCCTGGCCTGCAGAAAATGAAAAACTTTAACCCCAATCTTTTTTCCCACAAAGCTTATCTTGTTGAGCCTGGTCCGGTGGCACACACCTGTAACCCCATCGTTTAGGAGGCGTAGGCAGGAGGATGGTGAGTTAGAGGCCAGACAGTTAAATGTTTTTGGATTTTGGGGGTTTTGTTTGGTTTTGAGACAGGGTCTCACCGTGTAGTTCAAGCTATCCTTGAACTCACTGTGTAGCCCAGGCTGGCCTTGAACTTGCAGTGATCCTCCTGCCTCAGCCTCCCAAGTGCTGGGACTACAGGCATGCGCCACCACACCAAGCAGTTAAATGTTAGTTATTAGTAAGAGAAAGATTTTGAGGTCTCCTAAATTTAATTGTAAAGATCAGAAAATGAAGAGGAGGAAAAATAAGAAAAGTTCGTCGCTGATACCTTGTGACCAAACCAGCTAAAACAGCTGCTCCCCATTCCTACAGGTGTGTGGAAGCCTTGGCCAACAGCAGGCCCAGGATGAGGCTTGGTGATGAGAGCGTTTGCCCAGCATGTGGGGTCCTAGGCTTGACCCAAAACAGACCATCAGAGCAACCATCAAGGGTGACCTCGCATTGTACCTACAAACACCAACCAAGACGCACCAAGTACAGCAGTCGGGAAGCACAGCAACCAGGGAGGCTGAGGCAGGAGGATCACAAGTTCAAGCCCATCCTGGGCAATTTAGCATGACCCTGTAACAAAATACAGAATTTTAAAATGATGGGCAAGTGGCTCAGGGCACAGGCCTTGGGTTCAGTCCCTATTCCTGAAAAGAAAAAAGCAGCAGCGGACCACTTCCTAACCCAAGCTTGGCTTTCCCCCACAACACTTACCTACACCCACAGAGCGGTTGAGGCAAAAATCTGTGCTTTCTTTCCCCAAAATTTCCACACTCTCACTTTCTAGAATGGGGGGGCATCACCTCAGCCACTCCCTGTCCTCCCTGCTGGGGACAGGAGCTTGTCCCAGGACTGGTGCCTTTTTTCTGACTCATCTCTAATGACTCAGTACACTTTCTTTACTTCAGACACCTCTTAGGCGCGAGAGTTCTGTTTCATGCTGTCAGAGATGTTACTGGTCACAGCAGTTGGTGGCTGTACCTGGCAGGTCGGTTTGAGCCCCTCTTCTCAACGCCTGCCACGTCGTCCTCATGAGCCCTGGATGTCCGCTCCCAGGATCCATCCCATGCTGCAGTCAGAGTGATGCAAAATTTAAATGTGATACTCATTCCCCATTGCTTGGAAATTCAAATCCCCCACCCCCATACTGGGGATTGAACCCAGGGCCTTTACCCTGAGCTGCATCCCTAGCACTATTTTATTTTTTGGCTTGAGACAAGAGTCTCAGTCACTAAATTGCCCAGGCTGGGCTCAGACTTGAGATCCTCCTGCCTCAGCCTTCCAGAGTGCTGGGATTCTGCACATGGCTTACAAGGCCTTCTGTGGTCTGCAGCCTGCTCCTGCCTGCAGCCTCCTCCTCCCTCACTGTCCCCATAGACTGTCCCCAGAACCAACCCTGCTCTCTCCTCCTCACACTCCTGCTGCTGTTTCCTCTTCCAGGACCCCTCCTCCCGCCGGCTTCACTGCTGGGCAGTGACCAAAATACACACCCAGAGCAGCTGCAAGGCGGGCCACGGGCCTGCCTCTCTCCTGTTGGAACAAGTCCCCTTTCAATTAAAAGTAATAAATCTCTTCTTGTTTAAGTGGCAGATGGTTAAGAGTGTTACTTTTGCTTCCAGCAAGCCTCTAAAAACTTTTGAAAAGGAAACTACAGGATTCAAGAGAGAAGAGAGCAAATATTAAGGCCAAGAAAGAACTCTTACAGCAGCCATGCAGAAGTTTTGGCTTGTGTTCTTCATGTCAAGGCCGTCACGAAGCCTCTCCTATCATAGAGTCACAGTCTAGCAATCTAGACTCATCCTCAAAGGTGGAATGGCGCTAGGCAAGGTGGCACATGCCTATAATTCCAGCTACTCAAGAGGCTGAGGCAGGAAGATCTGGAGTTCAAGGCCAGCCCTAGCAATTCAGTAAAACTCTGTTTTAAAAAAGTGCAATAGCCTTTCCAACCTTACTCAAAACTCTGAGTCACTTGGATTCCGCTTCCCCTTTGACCTCAGACCCCCAAACCTGGAGGCTTTCATTTTTATCAGGAAATCCGTGGGCTTTTTAGCATCATACAGCCCTCTCCCATTGTATCCGCAGGACACAGGGGCGCTCCCGGGACACACATTTGAAGGCTTCTCCAGACTTGAATAGTGGGATACAATTTTTTTCACCTGCATCCCCAAAGAAACACAGATGAGAGCCCAGAGTTTCTGGTTCTCCAGCAAGCTGCACAGCTTCGGCATCCTGGAGAATCTGTCCACTTCAGACAAGTCCGGGTGAGGCAGTGACGACTGATCCTTCGACCTGTCGCTTCGCGGGGTTGGTCCTGATCGCTCGCTAACCACCGTGGGGCGCAGGGAGGACGCAGGCTTGGATTGTGGGCCGGGTCCGCCCTCTCTCCTGTACCGAGCCTGCGCTGGGTGAAGGAGCCATCACCGGGAAGCGTCTCGGAGCCTCTGAGTGATTCCAGCCCTGCCCGGATACAAATCTAATAACTCTTAGTATCTGGGGAAAGCTCTTTCTTTGTGTGGATCTCTCCAGCTCTCTGTAGACCTTTCTTTCTGAGATCCATCCAGATCAACCTTCAGAAAACTAAGAAAGGAGCAGTCATGATTTAATCGCCAGCCTTGAATTTGCCTCGTTCCCTACCCAGCACCAGCCTGGCTACAGCACTTAGATTCGACTTCAGGAAACCACCGAGCACTGATGAGTCAGCGAACTGCAGCCTCTCCTGGGCCCCAGGGTTCCTATCCGGGGAGCCCAGGGACGAGGGCAATGTTGCCTGGCACCCAAAGGCAAAAGATAAATAAAAACAAAGAGAGTTGGCCGGGTGTGGAGGAGCACACCTTGTGATCCCCGCACCCGCACTCCGGAGGCTGAGGCAGGAGGATTGCAGCGAGATGGAGGCCAGCCTGGAGAAAGACCCTGTCTCAAAACGAAAACAAAAAGCAAGTGCAAGTACCTTCCAGGACTCTGACTTGGAAAACCAAGGAGAATGATGAAACAAAAAGTAATTGTTGAAGCTTTTGGCAGCGGGGGAGGTGAGCGGGAGGCTGTGGAGAGCTGTTTCGAGGGCCCCATGCAGCAGATAACGTGCTCCACACCGAAGCGGGGGCTGTGAGGCCAGTGACGCCTTTGAGGCCTCCGCACTACCTCGCTCGTTCCCCTGAAGCAGCGCTTTCTGGCAGTGAACTCTCAGCGGGCGAGAACAGCAATCCCTGTTCCAGCCGTCCGTCAGGGTCTCGAAAAAGAAAAACCTCCCCCTGTCCCCTGTCTTGTTTTGCTTTTTCTATTCTGTACTTCAGCTCGCGTGATGACAAACAGAAGGTTAGCGGCCTTTGCGAATTTGGAAGAAAGAAGAAATTTAAAAGCACCCAGAAATCTCTGCTTTCAGCTACTGGTGAAAAGTCTGTGTTTCACAGAAACCAGCACTAATTAAAAAAAATAGAAGTCGGTCCTGAGCACTGGGAAGCAATAAGCACTCCTCAGTTTTCGAGCTACCAAAAGTTTTAAAACGAAAAACAGGAACGTGCATATCCCATGCATTCTTCCAAATCAAGCAACATCACTTTCCAACTCTTAAACATAAGTGTCTTTCTACATGTGGCTCTCACCTTAACAAATTAAATTTTTCTTAAAATAAAATCTTTTCACAACCAACTCTTTTGGCACCACTGTAAGAAAACAGTAGGTGCAGATCACCCTAAGTAGCAGATATTCTCAAAAGCATTTCTTTTTCCAGAAAGCATTTTTTACTGCACTTTGGTATAAACCCTAGGTAGAGTTCATAGGTTTACCTTTGCAATGTTACTTTTCTTAAAAAGGCAGGCAGGGCACAGGGACACACGCCTGTAATCCCAGAGTTCAGGAGGCTGAAGCAGGAGGATAGAGTTCAAGGCCAGCCTGGGCTTTTTTTTTTTAAATCAGTTTAGTAAATGTAGTTTATACCACTTAAGCAGGCATCCACTAACAGGGCAGGAAAGTATGAAAAAGCAGTACTTAAGAGGAAAGAGGAATTGAAACTCAATATTTTCCATAAATAAGATACAAAAGAACAAACCCTACAAGTAGAGAATCAGAATTTAAAGGAGTTTTTTTTTTTTTTTTTTTTGGTACCAGGAATCGAACTCCGGTCTTTGAGCTTGCCAGGCAGGCAGCGGAACCACTGAGCTAAATCCCTAGCCCAAGGAATATTATTTTAAAAGAACTACTGTATCAACACTTCATTTTTTAAAAAGTTAATGTTTTGATACATCAAAAATTCAAGTGAAGCCAGGCTCACACCTGTAATCCCAGCACCCAGGAGGCTGAGGCAGTAGGATCTCTGAGTTCGAGACCAGCCTGGGCTACATAGTGAGTTCCAGGTCAGTCTCAACTGCCTCAAAAAAAAAAAAAAAAAAAAAAATCAAGTGAAATAAAAGCTTGAAAAAGAACAAGGTAAATAGTGATAATACAAATAAATTTACAATCACCATAAATATGGTAAAATACTCATGTTTAAGAATAATAACCAGGGTTGGGGATTTAACTCAGTGGTGCCACCACGTGCCTCACAAGCACAAGGACCAGAGTTTGATAAATAAAATAAAAATAAAAAATAAAAAGATAATAATAACCAAAGAGTTTATAGTGAAGCAATAAAATAACATTTTTGTCCCCAACTCAGCAGCGCAGGAAACAGCCATGTGGTGACCCAGAAACTGTTAAAACGTATCAAGAGCCTGAAAAATGTTTCTATTTTTCCGCTGGGCAGCTCCACTTCAGGAAATGGAGGCAAAAAAAGAAAATCACGACAGGAAGAGTTTGTGCACAGCGGATAACTGGCGCCTCAGGCTCAGGACCTGGGGAGGGACAGCAAGTTAGGACACCACACTGCTGTCCCAAGGACGCTGGGAGATGTGTGGACATTTTCCAGCAAATGCTTAGGATATTCTCTTAAAGGAAAAAAGCAAACTAAATAACCATAGGCCTGATCACACATATTTTGTAAATATATTTTTTAAAACAATGAGAAGGAAATACACAAAAAGTAGTTGTCTTTAGGATTCTGGAAGGTTTTTTTTATTTGTTTTGTACTGTTGTTGTTTGGTTTGGTTTTATACTGGGGATTGAACCCAAGGCTTTTGCACTTTTTAATTTTTTTATTTTGAGACAAAGTCTCACTAAGTCAATAAATTGCCTAAGCTAGGTCAAACTTGCCATCTACCTGCCTCAACCTAATTTAAGGTATGCACCATCATGCCTACCTAGTTTTATGGATCAAGTCTTAAAAGATCTGTCTCATAATTTTAAAAAAAGATTAAACTTGTATTTAAAATGTACAGCTTCTATAATGTGCAAATAATGCCAGTTTAACTACTGGGATTAATAGGAAGTTGTTTTTTAAGGAACTAGATATTTCGCTTTACCGCAAGATCCACAGGATCTCTCTTTCCCCTTCAGCGTTTCTAAAACCATAAATGTAGCCATAGGGGAGTTTAGGACGACCGATTAAAGATTATACTAAGTTCCTTTACTCCTTAGTTTCCCACTAGATCTCAGGCTTATTGAGGCCAAGGTCACATAGTTTTTGTGTGTGGCAAACACTGCCAGTCCTTCTGTACAAAACCAGAACTTCTCAGTGACGGTTTCTCTAACTGGTAAAGAACTAGGTAACGAGGTAGTGTGGCTGGTGAGTAGGTGAACATCAGTTCAGAAAATGAAAAAAAACAAATCATAACCACTAAAACCACTTAGTTCTATCAAACTAGCCTCCTTTTCTAAGGGGCTGCTCACTCCCAATATGGCATCCAGGTTTCCAGCACTCTAGGAGGCTGAGGCAGAAGGATTGCAAATTCAAGCCCACCTGGGCAATATAGCAACTTAGAACTAGTCTCAAAATAATATACCTCTCTGTGAAGGCCCTGCATTCAAGCCCCAATTCTACAGAAGAGGAGGGGAACTCTCATTTACCATAAACCATACTTAAAATTTTCCAGTCCCAGGAAACCTTGTGCTTGCCAGGCAGGCATGGTGCCTCTAAGCTAAATCCCCAGCTTTATTATCACACATACACACACACACACACACACACACACACACACACACACACACGCACGGGCACAATCAGAAGATTTTTACTTTGGTCCGAGTATATGCTCTCAGAGATTGTATTCCTTCTATAATTTACAGTTCCCCTGTCCAGTTACAGTAGCTCTTGGCACGTGTGGCTGCTGATCATTCAAACTGTGCTTCTAGGGGCTGGGGATTTAGTTCACTGGCACCGCACCTGCCTGGCAAGCACAGTCCTGAGTTCGATCCCTATTACCAAAAAAAAAAAAAAAAAATCTGTGCTCCTAGCCAGGAGTGGTGGCCAGGCCTACAATCCCTGCCACCAAGATGGGAGAGCAAGTTTCCATCTGGGGAACTTAGTGAGACCTTATCTCAAAGTTAAAAATAATAAGAGCAAGAGGCTGGGGATTTAGCTCAGTGGTTCCACCACCTGCCTTGCAAGCGCAAAGACCCGAGT